TTGGCAGTCAGGTGGGATCAGCGTAGGATGCTCCACAGGGGGCCTTATCAAGCGTTTCTTAGAGAAGGCTGCAGCTCACAAAGGGGTGTGAGGCTGCACTGTAGTTTCAGGGGTCCCCAGATGCATTGTGGTTAGCCATGGGAGGAGCCGCTGTCATACTTCGGGGGTCATTCTTAGTGGTCTGATCTCAACTTCCCCAGAACAACCCTAGCCCAGTCCTCACACAGTGAGAGTCAGAGAAGATCTGGGGGTGCAGAGTCTAATGCCAGAGGAGGAAAGTTGAAAACACTGCATTTCAGCCACAAGAGTTTATGCAAGAAAGAATCAGTTCCCCCTCCTAAGGCTGGGGAACTGAGTGGGTGGACATAGACTCAAATCGGGAACCCAGTGTCAACGGTAGGAGGAAGAAATTCAGAGGTGGATACAACCGAGATGGAAGCCAAGGAGGAGTTGTAGTCACCACAGCTGGGCAGGTCGGGGGAGCCAGCAGAAGGCAGCCAGCTGGGCTGGGGGTGTCTTGGGGAAGTTTTAAATTTTGCTACCATTTGTGTTTAAAACAATTAAAGACAGGAAAGTATGTGTATGTGTGTGTGTGTGTGTGTGTGTGTGTGTGTGTGTGTGTGTATGTGCACACGTGCCCACGTAGGGCTCCCCTGGAAGGCAGCAGAAACAGTGGTTACCCTGGGGGAAGGAAACTGGGTTACGGGGGGAAGGGTGGCCGTGAAACTTCCCTTCTGAGCTCAGCACCATGTGCGCCGTATGTCACCTGTTCAAAAATTGTAATTAAAGCAGGATAAATACCATGGACTCAACCAAGAGGTGTGAAAATACATAGGGCCTTGAAGTCACCCTTCAGCCATAGAGACTGGAGCAGTAAACAATAAAGGAGAAAGGATTTTTCCAAATTTACAAAGCTACTAAATTATAGAGGCATGAGAAGAGGTCCTGTCTATCCTTTGGCACCAATGCTTGAAGGAATGCAGCTGCAAAACCCTGCATTACCTCGGTACAACTAACTTCCTCCCTGCCTCCCTGCCTCCCTCCCTCCCTCCTTACCTGCCTCCTTCCCTTCCTTCCTTCCTTCCCTCCTTCTTTCCTCCCTCCTTTCCTTCCTTCCTTCCTCCCTCCCTTCCTCCCTTCCTCCCTCCCTGCTTGTCTCTCCTCTCCTCTTCTCCCTTTCCCTCCCCTGTCTCTGTCTCTGTCTCTGTCTGTCTGTCTGTCTGTCTCTCTGTCTCTCTTGATCTGGTCTCACAATGTCACCAAGGCTGGTCTGGAACTCCTGGGCTTAAGTGGTCCTCCTCCCTCAGCCTCCTAAGTAGCTGAGACTACAGGTACGTGCCACCACACCTGACTCATAGGTGTAGAACTTAACCCAAAAGACAAGACTTTACCCGAGACAAAGACATGGAAGACTCCTTTGTAAAATGAAGACAATAAAGTTGTTAAGAGGATTAAATTAGATAATGCGTGTTCATCCTAGTGCCTAGCACAGCGTTAAGTGTTCTGTCAATGGCAGTTATTGTCATTTATTCTTCTGTGCCCCTCTGGAGTATGGAGTTGAAGTTGGCTGGGGAAGGGGCTTGAGGGCAGCTGTCATAGGAGTCTGTGGAAGTGAAGGCTTGCAGGATAAAGGGAAAAAACAGAGAGAGAGAGAGAGAGAGAGAGAGAGAGAGAGAGAGAGAGAGAGAGAGAATTCTTAATTCTCACTTATTTAAATAGCCACGAGAGAATCTGAAAGAGTAAATGATGCTTAATATAGAAAGTGCATGTGAGGGTGTACGTGTGAGGATGTGTATCTGAGAGAATTTCCGGCCCTTTTAACTCCACAATGCTACCAGGGGCCACCTGTGACCAGCATTGTCTCATGCTGAAAAATAACTGTACACAGCCCGGAACCCTTTGGGAACACTCCTTTCCTTTTCTCTTTCGTTCCCGGCGGTCAGCACGCCCTCACTGTTCCTGACAGCTGAGTTCATTGCCTCTTTTTTCTTTTCCTGGGGCTGTGGGTCAAGTGGGGACTCAGTGTTCTACCGGGAAATTGATCCACTTCCCTGAGAGACGTGCAGAAACGGTGTCTTTCTGAGGGAGGCACCTTAGCAAAAGCCCTGACAATGCTGAAGTCTCTGGAGCCATTCTCTCACTTTCCCCCAGCCCCGGCTCATGCCCGAAAGAAATCTCCCAGAGGCAGAGCACAGGGTCCCCTCTCAGGGTCCCCACGGACTTCACGATCTGCAGGCCCTGCATTGCTCCCCAATTAAGGGAAAACAATGTGAGGTTAAAAACTCAGGTTCTGCACCTAACTGGATCCAAATCTTTACTCTTCCAGGTGAATTCTGTGACCTAGGACAAGTGGTGTGACTTTTTGTCCCAGTGTCCATCTGAAAAGATAGTGGGAACGAAATGAGCTAATATAGGTAAAATGCAGAAATTGATTAAAAGCCACGCCAAGTGTCTTTATGGAGTATGATTTTTAAAAATGTGGTGATAGCAGCTACCAAGTATTATCCAGTGGCAAGGCAGGCAGCCTCGTAAAACAGTGACAGGTGTCCTCATCCATCTTATTTACCGGATCTGGCAGCGTGAAACTCTGGCTTTCCCCCAAAGTCAAAGTGATCGCGGTAAGGAAATGTGTTGAACAGATCCAGAACACCAAGATAGCCTTGACCACGAAACTAAGCACGTTCAGGGAGGAGGACGTCGAGAATCGCTTTAGAAAGTGGTGGGAATGATGGGGTGTGTTCAAAGCAAGAGGGAATATTTTGAGGGAGATAAATGACAATGTACCTTTTACTGTAATAAACTTTAAAAAACACCTTTAAACGTTCACCACATTTTTCAGTCATACCTTGTACAAGTGAAGAATTCAAGGAAGTTATTCTCTGCAGTCTGTTATTGGTCCTGATGATATGGGTGGCATTTATCCGTGTGGTTATCAAGTAGATTCCTGACCCTGTGGGGAGCTACAGCGTTTGTCTGTAACAACCAGAATGATTGGATTGTGTCTATCTTAGTCAGCTCAGCTGCCACAGCCAAATACCACAGCTTGCGTGACTTAAAGAGCACACATATTTCTTATAGTTCTGGAAATAAGTTCAAAATCAAGGTGCTAGCAGCGTCAGTGTCTGGCGAGGGCCTGCCTTGCTCTACCCTCACATTTCGGGGATGCGTGCTGGTCTCTGTCTCTTATGGTCAGGGCACCAACATCGTGAGGTTCCCAGCTTCATCACATCATCCAAGCCCAATCCTGGCCCAAGGCCCCACCCCACTTCCTGTCCACCACCGTCACTTTGGGGGTTAAATCTTAACAGATGAACGTGGACTCACCTTTCCCCTGCCCAGGCCCAACCTGTGCTAAGAGTGCGGCTCAGAGCTGTCGACTTCTCCGTTCACTTTGCACCTTATACCTTAGGAGGAAGAACTTCTGCCTGCGTTGTCACCTGTGCTGTCCTCTGTAGCCTTGAATGTGGGTGACATTTAGTGCATGTATTGTTGTACTGGTTAAGTGAACTTTTCAAAGCAAGATTTCCTCAGAGAATAAGAAAACACCAGCAATATAGTTGAAAATGCAGCAGGTCCCCATCTGAATGGAATGAGCTCCAACCTCCCTCACCATAAGCACAACCCAGCCACAGGGGAGGGAAGGGTTTTTCCGGTGGTTATCAGGCTGGTGGCTCTTTCCTGCCCTGCAGTGAGTCACATCGTGGGCTTTTGTATCATCTGAGGTTCAAACAGAACAAATTTGCTTACATCTTGATAATATGGATAGTTCTACAGGAGTGTTTTTACAAATATTGCTGGAGCTTTCGTATTCTCCAAGGGAACCTTGCTTTGAAAAGTTCACTTTGCCAATAAGATGGGTATTATATTTCTATTTAGAATCCAGAAGAATTTGTCAAATAACCTCAGTGGCTGACTCAGTGCTTTGCAGAGTGTGAGACTTGACACTGAGACCTAAGTAGTTACTCTGAGGTCAAGGAATTCTTTTGCATTTATTAAAAATGAGAACACACGGAGTGGGGATGTAGCTCAGTGGTAGACGGCTTGCCTAGCATGAGTGAGACCCCGGGTTCAATCTCTAGCACCAAAAAATAAAAACAAAACAAAACAGGGACACAGAGTACATTCCTTTTCACCTGCTTTACTTATTTGTTTTGAGTCTGTAGGTGAAACCCAAGATCTTGAGCTCGATGGGCAACTGTTTTAGTCACTTTCATGCAACGCCCACTACTCACAGAAAAGAGAGGGTTATTTTAGCCCACGGTTCCAGCCCACAGTTGCCTGGCTCCTCGGGAGAAATAGGATGGCAGAAGGGCACAGCAGAGCACAAAGTGCTCAATCCGTGGCAGCCTAAAAGCAGAGAGAGGGGAGGAATCACAGCCAAGGGCATGCCCTTCCAGGTCACCCCCCAGTGACCCCGCCAGGCCTGGCTCCTCTCGGCACATTCGGCTATGAGCTCACCAGTGGGTGAATGAACACCCCCGATCCAGTCACCTTCCGAACACATGAAGCTATTGGGGGACATTTGAAATCCAAGCCCTAAGACCAAGTAAGTCCTCTGCCACTGAGCCGCACCCTCAGCCCCATTCCTTTACATCTACATGTGTTAAGTGGCATAAACTTCAGTTTTAATATATATTTACATTTATTCAGAAGTTTTGTTAAAATATCATGGTGCCCTATAGGAATGTCACACAACAGGGCTCGGGGAATTGGTCTGGACACAACAGAGCTGGTGATACCTTTGCTTAAGTGTCCTAGGAATGTGGTCAAGGCCGACCTGCCTGCATTTGGGGGAGCTTTGTCTCTACACTCTGATTCTATGCTCAGTATTCTCCCGGCTTGACCTCCATTTATGTTAAATCAATACGCCGTGTCACACTGAACTGCAAGACGGATCAAGTTTATCAGTGAATGCGTCTGGGACAGATTTAAAAATCACTGGGACCCTAGCATACTAGCTTTGTCTCCACGGCAATTTCATTTCTGTGTGTGTTCTGCAGGTAAAAGTGAAGACTCAGGACTGTCAGGAGATGGTTTCCCAGAAGGTAACAAAACCATTGAAGAGGATACATCAAGCACGTTTATGGTAGTGATCCCGGAAGCGTTTCCTGCAGATACGAATTCTACCCAACTTCCCGAGGATACAAATCAGTTAGAATTTATGTTAATGGTGTTGATCCCATTGATTTTATTGAGCCTCCTTCTTGTATCTGTGGTACTCCTTGCAACATACTATAAAAGAAAGAGAACTAAACAAGGTAAATATTGAGTGTATGCCCACTTTCAGAAAATCGCCTTATGCATTAATGAACAGTCATAAAACAAGAATACTGTTTTTCTTCTATGCAGAGCCCTCTAGCCAAGGATCTCAAAGTGCTTTACAGACATGTAAGTATTGTCCTGATATCTGCTTAGGATTGGGGAAAGATAGGGAGGTGATGTTTGTAAATTAAGCAAAAATAATTATATAAAATACTAAGTGATGAATTGATATATTTCAATGAAATTTCCAGAAGTTAGTAATGTCAAAATGCCACATTCCTCTTTTTTTTTTTTTTTTTTAAGAATGTTTTTGGCCTATATGAAAATTTGGTTTGGATCTATATAGAAATTTAAAATACACGCTGCCATCTTTCTAAGTAATCCAGATAAGTTGTCTTAGTCACTTTCTTCATTGCTAGGACACAATACCCAACACCTGCAACTTAAAGGGGGAGAGGTTTATTTTGGCTCACGGTTTTGGTCCATAGTTGGCTGGCTCCAAGGGAGGTCAGCATGCCAGAAGGGCTTGGCAGAGCAGAGCTGCAGAAGGCATGGTGTACAGGAAGCAGGGAGAAAAGGGAGACGCCGGGGACGGAGATGAACCCTTCCAAGCCACACCTCTAGTGACCACCTCTTCCCCACCTCCTAACAATGTATTTGTATTTAGCGATCAACTCATCCATGGACTAATCCACCTGTCAGTATAGGGCCCCCAGGATCCAATCACTTCCCGAAAGGATTGGGAGTGCATGGGGCTTTGGGAGGACATCTAGTATAAACCGTAATCTTGGCTAAGAGGCCAGTGTCACATCTCCCACTGTGTGAGGAAAGGGTCAGGCTGGTGCAGTGGGTCAGCTTGGGGCTGTGAATGGTCCATCACAGATGCTGCTGTTCCCACACACCTCACATCCCAACTTAATCCCGAAAATGACCAAGTGAAAGGGTGTTCTTGTTCCCATTGCAACCATGCCAGCTTTTATAAGGAGATTCCTAACTGGTGGAGATTACTAATGCTGATCCAGAATCCAGATAAAAAATTCCCAAGGTTAGAAGCTCACTCTGACAGTGTATTTTGTTTTGTTCTAGGGGTGAGTTTGGTTTTTTTTTTTTTTTGGTATCTTTTGGTTTTGGCTTTATTTTTTGTTTGTCTTTTGAGACAGGTATTGGTATGTTGCTCACGCTGGCCTCAAACTCCTGGGCTCAAATGATCCTCCTGCCTCAGCCTTTCCAGGGGAACTCCTTACTCCCTGCTTCCTTCCCCTTCCTCCCCTTCTCCTCTCCCTCCTCTCCCCTCCTCCTCTTTTTGCCCTGCGATAGCTCCGCAGCTGGTCCCCCCAAACACAGTCAAGGGATGGGGGCTGGGAAGGTTGAGGTGTCCAATCACATAGTCCTGCCTTCCCATTTTACATTCAGAAATGGATTTTCCTCTAAATTTTATTGTGCAAGTCTGTCTGTTGGGAAGCCATTGGCATGCACAAATGGGCCTCATCCACAGACATCCTCATCCTCTGTCCCCAGAGCGTGACTTCCCCTAAGGATGCCTCTGTGTCTGGACGAAGCTGCCGCCTCTGTCTGCTTGGCAAACTGCCACCCTGTCCTTCAGCACCCAGGTCTGCTTTTTTATGAAGACTTGAGTAATCATCCCTTGGGGATAATTCCTCACAGCCTCCTCCTTCTGTGCTGTCACAGCTTTGTTCACACTTGTGGTGCACAGACTCAAATTGTCCTGATAAATAGGTGACCTTTTTAGGTCTGTCTTTCTTATTTTACTATGCTCTTATTAAAGGACAAAAGAACCAAGAACTTGTCTTACTTATCTTGTTTGGCAGGGTGGCATTAAGGTTGAGTGTTTGGACTCTGGAACCATACATATTATTTGGTTGCCTTTTGTGCTCCTTAGCTCTATGACCTCTGTGACTCAGTTTCCTCATCTGTAAAATGGGAAAATCCAATGCCTACCTCATAGAATATGAAAATCATATATATATATGAATAGAATCATAGAATATAATGTGTGCTAAATGCTTAAAATAAAAATATACTAGATACATTGCCATTAGTACCTCTCCCACTTCAAAGATGATTACTGTTTTTGCTACTTCCT